GGGTGCGGCATGAAAGCGTGGGGACGCGCGGGCGGGCATTGCGCCGGGATGAAACGGTGCGTGTTCCCGCCCAAAGCCCGTGGGGCTTTTGTGGAGCACGAGCTGTTTAGTCAGGTGTAATCGCGGCTCTGCTTGCACCCCAGCTTCGAAGCCAGGGTCTTGGAGTCTTTGTGGAGCTAGGGTTTCAGGCCGTACACTTTGCCACCTTCGCCCCGGCTCCGTGTCTCCACTCACCTCCTACACACACACGCACACAACACGCACGCAAACACACACACACGCACGCGCGCACACACAAACACATACATGCGCGCATGCGCACACACACACACACACACACACACACACACACACACACACACACACACACACACACACATACACGCACGCACGCACGCGCACGCACACACAAAAACATACATGCGCGCACGCGCACGCACACACACACCGCAGGCTGCGCGGCCTGCGGGCGCTGCTGGCGGAGCGCTGCGATGCGCCTGGGGGCCAGGGGGTGGAGGAGCTGGCAGACCTGGTGAGTCCGGCCCCCACAGCCTGTGGGGGTTCGGAAGGGATTGGGTGGGGCAGGGCGGGAATGCACGCAGGGTGCCCTGTTTCCCCGGGGAACCTTTTGTCCTGGGGGCTTGCTGTCGTGTGTGCCTGGATGCCTGACGGGCCGCCAACGACCGCTCTCTGGGGGCGCCCGAGGCCCGGCCCACCCATTCCAGCCGGCCCCTGGTGCGGCTCAGGGTGCTCGTCACGCGTGTTGGGGCGGGGCGATGGCTCATATGATGCACCATGCTTGCAGCAGCCCCCATCCTCTCCGCTCTCGTCCCTCAAACACACCACATGTCGATGTTGCAATGCACACACATACATGCAAAATCTCTTTCCACAACACACACGCGCACGCGCACGCACACGCACACGCACACGCACACACTTTATCAGCCACACTGACATCCACACTCACCTACACCCCCACACACACACGCACACACGCGCAGGTCCGCGCCATGCTGCAGTACGAGCCCTCGCGCCGCATCAGCGCCGCCGCCACCCTCAGCCACCCCTTTCTCACCATGGACCTGGCAATGCCCCCGGGGACCCTCGGCGGCGGCGCCGCGCTCATGGACCCCACGCCAGAGCCGGCGCTTCCTGCGGCCGCGGCCATGGCGGCGCTGGCGGCGGGCGGGGCCGCGGCCGCAGCCGCGGCGGCGGTCGAGGAGGTCGGGCCGTCGGGGAGCGGCGCGCAGCGGCAGCAGCAGCAGCAGTGGCAGCAGCAGCAGGAGGAGGAGCAGCAGCAGCAGCAGCAGCAGCAGCAGGTCGCGCCGCCGTTGGAAGCGGGCGCGCCGCAGGCCGGGCAGGGCCAGCAGCAGCAGCAGCAGCAGCAGCCGGGGCCGGGGCCGCCGCTGGGGTGGCCGCCGGGCGGGGGAGAGGGGCGATTAGAGGCTGCGGAGGCGGCGGGGCAGACGGGCGACGTCGGAGCGTGAGGCAGCCCTAGCGCCCGCGCCGCCGCACTATTACCAAGGCTGGCGCCCCCCCTGGCGTTCCGGCCAGCCACAAGCGCCGCCCCGGCGCGCCCCAAGACTGCCGCCGCCGCCCCGCGGCAGTGGCGGCTCGGCCCTCACAGCTGCCGTGGCGGGCGGCTGCTGTCACCCCCCCTGCGCCGCGGGCGGCGTGCGGTGGGCCGCCCCTTTTGGCCGGCCCTTGTGCCTCCTGAGATTCCAGAAGAGGTTTGACCCCTCACCGCTGACCCCCGCACCCGGCAGACACCCCTGCTATACGACCAGGACTTTCCAGCTGAATTTGACCGAAACAGTTGACCTGCGCTTTTTGGCGGATGCGCGTTTGACCAAGCGCGTTTGACCGCCACCCGTCCGTGCGCGCCCCTCTACTAACGGTCAGCTATATCTGACAAGCCTTGGCCGCGCCTTCGACTCTCCCTTTGACTCTCCGTTTGACCGATCTGACACTAAGACGACGCGCCGCGCGCGCATGACAGAGGAGGAGTTGCGCCGCCAAGCGCGCCGCGCGCCCGCGCCAATGCGGTGGGACGTGACTCACTGCCTTGTGAATCCCAGGCGGCCCCGCTCTGACCTAACCCCCACCCTTGGAGCTGCGGCGCCGCCCACACCGGCTGCGCATTCAGCAGCTGCGCGGGCCGGCGGCCGCGCTCAAGCGACCCCGCGCGGGCCGGCACGCATGCGCACGCTGCCCGCCGCGGCCCCGGGCGGCGGCGAGGCGGCCCTCGCGCCACTGGCAACGCCCGCGGCCGCATTGAGCCTCCTGGCTGTGCTTGGAGCCCTCCGCGTGGCAGGCTGGCGGCCCGGGCTGCGGCAGCGTCGGAAGTTGAGAAGGGGTCGTGAGGACGCCGGTGGGCGTGAGCGGGGCCGACGCGGCTGGGGTGCGCCTCCTGCGCGCCCCAGCCGCGAGCACTCGGGCGGCGGTGGCGGTGTTGGCGGCTGTGGGCCCGCCGTGAGTAATTTGGTTGCGTCGCCAGGCCGCGCCCGCTGGCTTGGGCTGCGCGGCCCGGGGTGTTGAGCCGAGACGGCGCCCCTGGCTAGCCTGCGTGGCCGTCCTGCCAGCCCCCGCCCCCGCCCTGACGCGCCCAGCCCCGCCGCACCCTGCCGCGGCCGCGCACCCCGCTGTTGCTTTCAGAGGTCCCTCCTCCGCACCCCGATTTTCTGCCTCTGAATTTGATCTCATCTTCGATTATGATTACGTCGCCGCGACTTTTTGACTTCCGCTGAATGCCAACGGCAAAGCCCTGTGCTCTCGCTGCGCATCCCCTGTGTAATCCTGGTGCCCCTGCTGCCGCCGCTGCGGAGAGCTGCTGGGGTGCTGGCTCACACCTGCCTGCGTGCTGCCGCGGGGCGTGCAGCTGTCACTGGTCACCGGCTGCAGCACACGTTTCCACCTTGAAAGAACGCAGAGCGCACCTCCCCGTTACCAAAGGGGAGGGGCATATCATTACAACATGACATAAGCATAAGTAATCCACCTATACAGTACATGGGCGGCGGCCTGGACCAGCCGTTTAACATGTGCGTTCAAGGGAGCAAATTGTGCCAGCAGCACACGACAACAGAAGGGGGCTTTAGAGTGAGCCGCCCTTCAAGCAGTGCGGTGCGGCGCCTGGACTTCAGAAGCCGAAAGGGCAGCTGCACTTGACGCCAACGATCTGCACAGCAACCAAAACCAAAAGCCCTGTTCGAAGCGCAGGGGGTAAAGTCGGCACCCATGCGGCGCTAGGTGCGGCGACGCCACCCTTCAGCTTAGCATAGCCGCTGGTTTGAATGGCAGCCGGCGCAGCCCCTCAACCCGTGAGGCCGCGCCTGCGCGTTCACGTGACCAAACCCCCAGAAAGGAGGCCGATCGGCCGGCGCGACGAGGGTCCGCCACTCCAAGAGCCTACGGCGGCAGCGGCGCCGTCCCTCAAAGAAATAAGCCCCCCAAAAAGCAACAACCAGACGCGAGGGCAGCCCTCACGCCCTGCGCCGCCACACCCAGCTGAAACCCCCGACCCCTTTGCCCCAGTACATGCGCCCGCCCCTTGGCCCGGGCTCCTCGCCTGCGCCGTCCATTGCGCCCGCCGCGCCTGCCGCGGCGCCGGCGCCGGCGCCGGCCGGGGCGATCGTTCCAGGGGCTGCGCCGCCGTCCGGCCGCCGCTTGCCGCCGCTGCCCGCGTTCATCTGGGTGACCTCCGTCTCCTCCTCATATAGGATGCCGTTTGTGGGGTGACGCCAGCGGCGGGTGCGGCGGATGGACGTGACCTGCCCGCCGCCGCCGCCGCCGCCGCCGCCCCCGCCGCCGCCGCCGCCGCCGGGGCCACCGCCGCCGCCTGCCGGGGTTTGAGGTATGGGGGTGTTTGGCGGGTCTGGGCCCGGGACATCAAACTGCCAGCAGCCCTCCTTAAAACGCATAGGTTATGGGGCAAACAGTCAGCACCAAAGCCACGCCAGCACAGCAACCC